CACTTTATAACACTGAGATTCAAACTGTGCCTCAGATACTGGCAATTCTACTTAACAGTGCCTGACAGCAGCTTCCTAGAATCTATAAATAGAGTATAAACCTGTGAACAAGTTGTTAAAAAAAGGAACAAACACACCATATTTGTCTGAGGTCTCTATGCTACTTCCGGTCCCGAAGGCCGGACTCTCGCCTGTCCCTTTGGGCTGAGGTCCGCCCAGGATAGGTACAGATTCCTCCTCTGCATTTCCCTCTTCACTGAGTCCCATCAAGGTGAAGACAGGCAGAACGAAACCTGCCTCACTCCACGGTGACCACCTCCTCACTCAGAAAGAACCTCGGATGTTCCACCCAGTAAGGGACAAAGAGGAGTCCGTGACCAGAAAACCAGGCTCATCCCGGGGAAGACCAACGAGCCAAAGCGGGTATCGGCGCTCCCAAGTACCGCTGTCTCTCTCACCTGGGCCCCCACAATAAAAGTCCGAGTCTGAGAGTCCAGGGTCTTCACCAGGACCTCCAGGCTGTCGGGCTCCTCCATAGTGGTACTGGAACTATCGCTCGGCTCCATGGCCGACAGCTCTCTAAGGGAGAACGAGGGGGGGAGGTTCGCTGTGGCCCGCACTGGCTTCCACACACCCGGAAGACTCTCGGGGCCCCATCTCCGCCCCGACCCCTTGGCAGCCTCTCATACACGAGCACATATGTTCATCCGCGACCCCATCCCTCCTCCCCGGTGCCGAGACTCGGGAAGAGAAACACAAAGGGCCGGAGGAGATCGACGGCACAGGGAGGTGAAGGACGAGAGGTGGGAGGGGCTCCACGGTGCCAATCACAATAGGGAGAGCCAGTTGGGCCGGGGGTCGGGCAAGCCAGCTCGAGCCCGGCCGGAGGCCGGTGTCATCACCGGTCGCGACCGAGCAAGGGCCCGAGGGACCGGGAAATCCCAGGACGACGCGGGGCGGGGGGGGGAGGGTCGCGCCGGACTCGGCCGACAGAGCGGCTCCGCGCACGCGCGCTCGAACCCGCCTAAATCGCCACGGCCCCGAGTCGGCAGACACTCACGGGAGCCCGGACCGGCTCGCTGGCCGCCCCTGCTTCCGCCTCCGCCGCCCGCCGTCGGTGTCCCAGCAAGGCGAAGAACCAGCACGCGGCCGGACACATACAAACACACACACACTCACACACACACACAGCCCACCGCCCTGTGGCCCCGCCCCCGGCTTCCCCACGGTACCGTCACTTCCGGTCTCCCCCAACCTGGCCCCAAAGGCCACTTCCGTTTCCCCGATAGTATTTGGGGATCTCGAGGCGGTACTTCCGGCTTCCCCAGGCTCCCCGACTTGACTTCCGTGGGGCACGATGAGAAAGTCCGCAGCCCCGAACCGCGGGTCTCTGCGGGGCGAGACGGGCCGGGGCCGGCCTAGATGGGAGGGAGCCGACCACCCCGAGGAGCCGCCGCCGCCGCCGCCGTCGCCCGGGGGACCGCACTGCGCCTGCGCGAGCCGCGGCACGCGTGCGCACACTCTGAGCAGGCTCCCCCGCCCCCCTCGGGCCCTGGGCGTTTCTTCCCTGCGCGCGCCGGAGCGCTGCGCGACCGAGGTGGCTACTGTCGCGCCTGCAGGGAAACTCCGGAGTGGCGTGGGGCCCCACCCCGAGACGCCGCGGACGCCCGGCGGGGACTCGTGGGGACTTCACCCCGGTCGTCCACAGGCGTTAGTGGGCGGCCGGGCAAAGGAGAGGTAGTTACAGGCACAGCCCTAGCCACCTACAGCTCTGCAAGGCCTCGGGTCCTCTCGTCGGGCTGCGCTGCCGGAAGCCACTTCTTCCCCTGGACGGTTGGGGGCCGTGCCCTGGGCTGCGTTTGCTTCGACCCGCGTCTCTGGTCCTGGCCGGATTAGGGCGGTTGCGGGCCGTGCCCTGGGCTGTGTTTGCCCCGACCCGCGTCTCTGGTCCTGGCCGGATTAGGGCGGCTGGGCGCTTTGCAGACTCTTGGGGCGTCCTGCCGGCCTCGGGTGGAGAGCACCCGAGGAACTCAGTGTCTTAGGACAACTAAGCATTTGACTGCTTTTTAAAGTTTGTGAATAAAGGAAAACGGAGCCCGGAGAGGTGGCGCCCGCCTTTAATCCCAGCACTCGGGAGGCAGAGGCAGGCGCCTCCTCTACAGCCAGGGCTGCACAGAGAAACCCTCGGAAAAAAAAAAAACAAAAAGTGGGGGTCTTGGGGGTCGAAGGCTCGCCGCCAGGGGAGGTGCACAGGGCGGGACGATTACAGTTTCTCTGCCGCCTCCACCACTTCACCTAGATGCCAGTACCGAGGAGAGTTCCAGTAAGCACTGTTCAGCGAGCAATTCCTTTGTGTCAGCTGGTACGATGAGACTTTTACGTACTACCTCACTGTGTTGCCCCGCATTGCCTAGAACTCATAATTCCGCCCAGTGCTGGGATTAAAAAGTCCTACTGGACCCTGCCAGACTATACCAGACTACATTTATTTGTTTGTTTGTTTGTTTGTTTGTTTAGAGACAGAGTTTCACTGTGTAGGTCTGGCTGTCCTGGAATTCAGAGAGATCCACCTGACTGTCTCCTGAATGCTAGGATTAAATAATTTTTTAAATTTTTCAACACTTTTTTTTTCCGGAGCTGAAGACCGAACCCAGGGCCTTGCTCTACCAATGAGCTAAATCCCCAACCCCGCTCAACACTTTTTTTTTGGGGGGGGGCGGGGGGGGGCGCTGTGTACCTTGAATCTGCCAGAGCATAGCCAAAGTGTGGAGAAATGTGGTGTCTTCTATCCACTATGTAGGGATCTGGGGATCAAAATCAGGTCCTCAGATTTGGCTTGGTATCTATCTACCCAAACCTACATTTTAGGGTTTTTTTGTTTTGTTTTGTTTGTTTGTTTGTTTTAGAAGATTTATTTATTTATGTATAGTGTTCTGCTTGCATGTGTCCCTGCAGGCCAGAAGAGGGCACCAGATCTCATTACAGATGTTTGTGAGCCACCATGTGGTTGCTGGGAATTGAACTCAGGGCCTCTGGAAGAACAGGCAGTGCTCTTAACCTCTGAGCCATCTCTCCAGCCCCATTTTAGTTTTTTATTATAAAATTTCAAGGGCTTGAGTGGTAGGGCACTTGCCTGGCAAGCCCAAGCCTTACCTTTGCTTCCTCGCTCCCACATAAAGATGGGAGCATTACTCCCATAGAGTAATCATGCCTACGACCATCCTCATTTTTTGTGATTGTTTTGAAGCAAGATAGTATTATGTATGTAACCAAGGGTGGCCTGAATGGCAGGTGAAGGGACTCTGGCCAGCTTGAGTGTGGCGAGCATGGCTCTGGCAGGCCTTGCCCTTCTCTCTCATTCTTTGCCTTGCTAAAAAACATTAGATTACATTCCTAAAGCTAGTCACCAACGTCTGTTCCCTTTGGCCACTTCCTCCTGAGGCTGACTACCAAGGTCCAGCTGTCAAAGTATTGAAGTCCAGCAATCAAAAGCCCCCTTAATTAACATGTCCAGTCAAAATTAAACACCTCATCCTAACACGGAGTTTCCCTTACCTTTATAAACCGCCATGTTCGCCGGGCGGTGGTGGCGCACGCCTTTAATCCCAGCACTTGGGAGGCAGAGGCAGGCGGATCTTTGTGAGTTCGAGGCCAGCCTGGGTTACAGAGTGAGTTCCAGGAAAGGAGCAAAGCTCCACAGAGAAACCCTGTCTCGAAAAAAAACAAAAAAAAATAAATAAAAATAAAAAATGAAAAAATAAACCGCCATGTGTCCTGTGTGCCATGTCTGTCTCCTCTCCATCCAGAGGCGGTCCTCTGTACCCCCCAGGACAAATATCCCTGCCCCTTTCCCTTGTTCCCTTCCCCTCTCCCTCTCCCTCTGCCCCCTGTCCCTCTGGGGCAAATACATCTCCTTTGTGCTGAGAACTGGGCTCTAGGGGTCCTGAGCTGATCTTTTTCCTTTCAGCACCGTTCCTCAAGACCTGCACCATCCTCCCTTGAAATAAATCACAACCCTTTAGCAAGTCTCACTTCTCAGGGGGCTTGTGTTTAAAGAAAAGTTGGAGTTTATTTTTATATATATATATCTAAGCACGGGCCTTAAGGCAGAGAGACACACACTGGGGAAGAGGACGGTATATACCCAAGACACAGCTACAGGCTTCTCAAGAGAGTCCCACATTTTTTTGCGGCAGTCCACAGATTTAAAAATTCCCGCCTCTCACTGCATTGACAGCTCCGCACACTAAGGCTATCCAGTGACTGTCTCTTGACACTACATTTAAATCTTGACAATCAACGAAATTATTACCAGCGATTGCCGTGGGTGCTTTGCAGTTACTAATGATAGTGGATATTTACTTCTGACTTGGTGTGGCATGATCTCATCTAACTCTGAGTTGCCCATTCCACAGGTGGAAAAAGAGAAAGATTAATACAGTTGTCCCAGGAGGCTGGGGATGTGGATCATTGGTACTACTGTGCATGTGAGCATGCCTGGTATGCATGAAGTTCTAAGTTTGATCCCCAGCATCAAGAGGGAAAAAAAAGCCGGGTGGTGGTGGCGCACATCTTTAATCCCAGCACTCGGGAGGCAGAGGCAGGTGGATCTCTGTGAGTTTGAGGCCAGCCTGGGCTACCAAGTGAGTTCCAGGAAAGGCACAAAGCTACACAGAGACCCTGTCTCGGAAATCCAAAAAAAAAAAAAAAAAAAAAAGAGGGAAAAAAAGTGTCCCTAGCCCAGCGGTGATGGTGGTGGTGGTACATGTCTTTAGTAGAGGCAGACAGATCTCTGTGAGTCCAGCCTGGTCTACAGAGTGAATTCCAGGACAGGCAGAACTACATATTGAGACTCTGTCTTGAAAAAAAGAAAAAAAGGAAAGAGAAGTCCACCATGCCCCAGCGACTGGCTGGTGCCTGTTCTAACACTTATCAACTTGTATTGCAATGGTTTGTTTGTAAAGCTCTTTTTCCATTGTTTTTTTTTTTTTTTAAATGTCCCCCAGGATTAGCCAGTTCCTGGCAAACAACTGAAATCCCCAAATTTGCCAAGTGAATGAATGAAAGACCTAACAATGAAGTCACTTTTCCTGGGTGTTTCACAACACAGCAGAGCTCCAATTCAGACACAGACACAGGTTTCTACTGTAGGGCTCGGCTCTCCTCGGAACGCCTCAGTCGCTGGACATGCAGGGTACACTGTCGAGTGGTTGCATCCGGAAGAGGGGGAGGAAGGCCCCAGTGCTGTAGCTAATCCATGCTTGGGTTGGAAAACAAGGTTGAAGTTACTTATTAGCAGGTAAAAGGGTCAAGGGTCGACGCAAGGGGGCTGAAAGCAGAGTGGACCGAGCCGCCAGGCCAGCAGAGACCAGTTAAGGCAGACGTCCCTCAGCTGCACGCACCAGCTCTCTCCTGCCTGAGATGTTCCGCCAAGTCTGGGCAGCTGTGCTCTACCTCTATGGCCTGCTCTTTAACTCCATGACCCAGTGCCCCGAGCACAGCCAGCCAACAGCGCTGGAAGTGGGCGAGGAGGTAAGAAGGACTGGGGAAGGGGAAAGCCAGCAGTGGACGCGGAAAGTCGTGGGTGGGCAGCTCAAGATGACCAGCAAGCGTGTCTGTCGGGAAAGGAGGGGAGGAAGGGGGTGTGGAAACAGAAACAACCACCTCCTGGCCCTGAATCTTGGTCCACGGACTGATGGAGAGGCTGCCTGGGTTTTGCGACGGACCTGCTAATTCATTCTTTGGCTCGCTCGTCCAGTCCCCGGAGCCCCACCTGGGCCTGTGGTACTTCATCGCAGGAGCAGCCCCCACCAAGGAAGAGTTGGCTACTTTTGACTCGGTGGACAACATTGTCTTCAACATGGCGACCGGCTCTGCCCCAAGGCAGCTCCAGCTTCGCGCCGCCATCCGCACGTGAGTGGTGAGGAGGCAGAGGCACTGGGTGTGTTCTCTGCCCAAACTGTTAGCAATGGCCCCACCCAGACGCGAGCTCCATCACTCCTTGCCCACTGACCTCAGCAGCTTACAAGTCACTTTCTGCTGATAGGATGGGCCTAGCTATCCCAAAGAGCTGGGGTGTGGGAAAGGGTAAGAGAAAGATAAGTAAATGTGGCAGTGTGCGCCTGGATGACACTCCATCTTTCTACCTTGCTACCACCACCTCTGCAGGAAAAATGGGGTCTGTGTGCCCCGGGAATGGATATACCACTTGACTGAGGGGAAAGGAAACACAGATCTCAGAACGGAAGGTTGGTCCCCACCAGCCCGCCCCTTCTCTACTCTCCCTGAGCTGTTTCCCCCTCAGAAGTGAGGGCTGAACCTAGGTCCTCTGGCATGCTAGGGAAGCAGGCCATCTCTGAACTATATCCCCAGACCCTTTGCTAACCTTTCTTTGCCCTGATGGTTGTTGAACTCACCCTATGGCCCAGGCAGGCCTTGCATGTGAAATCCTCCTGCCTCAGCTTCCTGAGCAGCTGGGATCACGGCCCTGCACTACTAGGCCCGAGTCAGCTTGGTTTTGCATCTGTCCTCTCATGTTCCTGACAGGCCGGCCTGACATGAGGACAGACCTCTTCTCCAGCTCATGCCCAGGGGGAATCATGCTCAAAGAGATGGGCCAGGGTTACCAACGCTTTCTCCTCTACAGTGAGTGGTGGTACAAAGCGGGGGTGCCCAGGGAGACTGGAAGGCTAAAGGACCCCTTTCAGAGCAGGATGGGCATCTTCACCAGGTCCTTTGGAAACTGGCGGGCAGGGCTGAGAAGCAGGAATGTTGACCAGCCCGGCTGCTCCCTGTCCTTCCAGATCGATCACCACACCCTCCAGAGAAATGTGTGGAGGAATTCCAGTCTCTGGCCTCCTGCTTGGACTTCAGAGCCTTCTTAGTGACTCCCAGGAATCAAGGTGAGGGGTCGAAGTCTCCCAGGAGAGGTCTGGGAGTCACCAACTCTTCTGTGGGTATTGTAAAGAGCTCAGTGCAATGTCAGCAGAGGCCGTGGCCAAAGGCAGACATCATCAGAATGGGTACATTGACCCCTCTAATTTTCATGGACTAGAATGGCACCAGGACTGGGTAAGAGCTGTGGAGTCACCAAGGAGGGCTCTGGGTGACTGGAAAGAGGCTTTGGGGGGCTGGAGAGATGGCTCAGCGGTTAAGAGCACTGGCTTCTCTTCCAGAGGTCCTGAGTTCAATTCCCAGTAACTACATGGTAGCTCACAACCATCTATCATGGGATCTGAGTCCCTCTTTTGGCATAAAGGTGTACATGCAGATAGAGCACTCATATACATAAAATAAATGGTTTTTTTTGTTTGTTTTTTTTTAAAGAGGCTTTTGGTCAGTAGTGGCACACACTTTTCATCTCGGCACTCAGGTGGCAGAGGTAGAAGAATTGCCATAAGTTTGAAGCCAACCTGTTCTACACAGTTAATTTCAGCTGGGGCTATATAGCGAGACTGTCTCTCAAAACTAAAAATCCTGAGTCCTTTTTTTTTTTTTTTTTTTTTGGTTTTTCGAGACAGGGTTTCTCTGTGCAGTTTTGCGCCGTTCCTGGAACTCGCTTTGGAGACCAGGCTGGCCTCGAACTCACAGAGATCTGCCTGCCTCTGCCTCCCGAGTGCTGGGACTAAAGGCGTGCGCCACCACCGCCCGGCAGGTCTCTGAGTCTTTAGAGCAGTGGTTCTCAACCTCCCTAAGGCTGTGACCCTTTAATACAGTTCCTCATGTTGTGGTGACCTCCAGCCGTAAAATTATTTTTGTTGCCACTTGGTAACTGTAACTTTGCTACTGTTGTGAATCATAATGTAAAATCTGATATGCAGGGTATCTGATATTTGACACCTGTGAAACAGTTATTCAACACCCCCCCCAAAGGGTCACAACCCACAGGTTGAGAACCACTGCTTTAGAGACTACAGGGAGGAAAGGGCCAGGTATAGACAGAAGGGTCTCTTTCCCCGCCGCCTGGACTTCCTTTCCAACCTCTCATCCTCCCCCTCCTCCCCTCACAGAGGCCTGCCAGCTGTCAGCAAGTGACCGGTAACTTCCTAACTTCATCTGTGTCCCAGACCGCCAAGGTGGGAGCTGAGCTGCGAGGGGAGACGTTGGAGACTCTCCACTCCCTGTCAAGGTTAATAAAGATGGTTTTTCAGTCCTCATCTCCTGGATGTTGTCTGCAGACATCAGTCACTTCTCCCCCAGGACGGAACCTCTACCACCTACCACCCCCAGCTGTTAGGCATCAGGAAGGACACCGAGCAACACCTCTCACATTGTACTGGTATATTTAGGATTTAGTGTCGCACATTTATTGCTGAGTGAACAAATCCCTAGCCTGAGCGGAGATGGCAGGCACTGTGCCCACTGCCTGTCAGAACCCTTCTGAACTGAGCCTCGGGCTAATGTGGCCTGCACTATCCCTGTTTCTTCTGGATCCCACTGAGTACCAGACCCTCCCTGCAGGCACCATGACACCTGTAGCCCCTTCTAGAATCCCAGTCCCTCCCACCTCACAGCCCTACTCCCCTCTAGATGGCTCTGGTCCTAGGACCCAAGGGACTGCATGGATCTCCCTGTCACCTCCTAATGCAGAGATCTCTGTCCTGCCTCTGGCCTGGTCCACCCCTGGGGTTGGAAAGGACCCTTTGGCCTTCATTCTCCACCAATTTTATTTTATTTTGCTCTTAAAAACTGGAGGTGGGGGAAGTTGGAGGTGGTCATTTAAACAGAGGTGGACAAACGTAAGAGGGAGAAATAACAACTGGTGACTGAAATGGCGATGTCCCATCACGGTCCATCACGGACACCCTAGACAGCCCCATCGGTCATCCGACAGGGGCTCCCCTGCCTTCGCGCTCCTGAGTCTCCTCCCCATCCCTGAGGTCACTGTGCTTCCGATCTGGGTTTCCCCACCTTCCTCCTAAAGGCCACACCACTCTCTTCACCCTTTGCCCTCACCCTCACCCAGTCACAGCGCCCTTCCTGGACCTTCCGTCGGCGGCTCCCTGGCCCCCCTCCCCTGTCCCTCACTCTCCCAAACAGTGGTCTCCTCATCCTCAACAGGTTCCCGGAGGCTGACAGCCAGCACCAGGGCCTGCAAGAGGCCAAAGAGGCAGGCGAAGTGCAGGGGGTGGGCGGTGAGCAGGCTCAGCACAGCGTGGAGCCCATGGAGGGCGGCCAGGAAGCACAGCAGCCCGTGTAGCCAGAGGCCCACAGGTCCTCGAAGGCCCAAAGCGTCCAGGATAGCTCGAAGTGGCCTGGAGCACAGAGCCAGCAGGGCTGAGGCTAGCAGCTCCAGCAGGTGCAGGGTCAAGTTGGTAGAGATCTGCAGATACTCCTCTGGGTCCCGCAGGTAATGTGAGGGATCTCCCGGATCCCCCCGCAGCCAACGCAGCAACTTCTGACGTCGACCGGGCTTCTCCAAGAGGGCTTCTGGTCCAGCGGTGCCGAATCCCTCTTGGGGGGACACTCCAAGGCTCTTCATGCCACCTGAATCCACAGAATCCCATTCCCGTTTGGGAATGCCTCCTCCAGTCTCCAGCCTTGCGGACACTCGCACACCGGAGACAGTCTTGTCCCGCTTGAGGGAATCCTTGGTTTTGCTCTCGAGCTGGTCCACTTGGAGCTCGCTGCTCAGCTCTGGAGCAGCCCCAAGGGTCCTCGGTTTCCCCGAATCCTTGGTCTTGAGAGGCCCCACATCTCCCATTGTCTCTGGGGCACTGTCCCAGTCACTCCCTGAATTCTCGGGGGAGCTGTCCACCCATCTGGGTTCTGGGGCTGGCAAGTCAGCCTTTGTTGATTTCCTGCGGCCCCAAGGCCGAGGTAGCCAGCCACCAAGCCTTCGCAGGAACATGACTGAACTGTGTAGTGAGCCCCCCAAATCTGCGACCCCTTCCTGACTCTACTAAAGATTCTCGGGATCTCCTCAGAAGCCGGAACCTGTTCTCGGTTCAGAATAGGTATCTGCTTGGTGATGTCGTCCTACTCTGAATTCAGAAAGAGCTCAGGTAGCCTCAAGAGTGGCAGATGGCCTGCTTCCTTGTCAGTGGAGAGGAAAAGAAATCCATTTGCCACCCCACACACTCACAAGACTTCAAGGGCCTTATAAGGCCTGGATCTCCCCCACAATGTTCTGTGTTTTCAGATTTCCTTCCCAGCAGTCAGCACCCTAAGTTCACTCACCGAGGCCACACCCCAAGGTGCCCAAAAAGTGGGGGGAGGTGGCGATCCATCGAAGAAGGAAGGAAGGTGGCCCAGAGTCCTTCGGTCCTGACTTTGAGGAGCCTTAAACCGCTGCCCAAGGGAGCTCAAGAAACAGGAAGTCTCGGGTGAGAGGAAGACGGGATGGAAGTGTCGAGCGAACTCCAGTCAGTTACACACATTCCTTAACTTAGGGAGCGATCGTTCCAGAGTGGCCCCACTGTCCCGCGAGGGCGCAGCTGAGACGCGGCCTCCGCAAGGTCAGAACGGGGATGTCCTTGGAGAGCGCAGCCGTGGGGCTCAGTGCAGGCCTCTCTGGGACCCAGGCGGCTGGGCGCTGCGCGCTGCTCTGGGGCCCAGCGTCCGGAGAGCGGCCTCCCGGAGCCCTGCGAGCCCGGAAGCAGCTGTACCGGGTCGGGAGGGACCGACGGGGGCGGAGCCCCGCAACTCGTGAGGCGGACCCGGCGGAACGACCTCCCCCGTAGCCCCCGCGATTCACCAGCGCAGGCGTAGAGAGGAGCGCTTAAGCCAGAACCTGAATCCAAGCCCAGTTCTGCTCTTCACCGCCCACCTCTGACTCGGTGCTTCAGCCCTCGGTTTTTGTTTGCTTTAAAAGACAGAGTATCCCTACGTATATAGGTCAGGAAGGGCTGGGCATATATAGCCCAGGCCGGCTTTGCATTGGTCCTTTGCCTCTGCCTCCCTAAGGCTGCGCTATGGCTCCCTTCCCTTCGGGCTGCCCTGCGGCTCTTCTGCACGGCCCCGCCACTCCTCCATTTCTCACCTACTACTGCTGGTCCAGAAAGGTAAATAACAGGAGCCACGTGACTTAAGCAGCTGCCCTTTGCCCTTCCTGACCGGGATTTGAAAGCTTCCATGTTGCTAGCACTCGGTAGGAGCATCACAAATGGGTGTGGGTGCCAAGTAGGAAAGAGCAATGTAGGAAAACGTGCTACCTGTTTCCAGGGAGTGAAATGGAGTCTTAGGACGGTCTGAGTTAGGGCTAGAGATGTAACTCTGTAAGCACTTGTGTAGTAGGTATGATGCAGCCCTAGGTTACATCCCTCATACTGCTGGGTGTGGTGGTGCACACCTTTAATCTTAGCATCATCCCAAGGCCTTTGGATCTACATAGCAAGTTTGAGGCCAGCCTGGTCTACATAGCAAATGGGACTGTCTCAAAAGAAAAAAAGAAACTTTGTATTTGGGAGGTCAGAGCTCTGGTCCCAGCTAGGATGGCATACGGGAGGGATAATGTTAGGTCACACTGGGCAGTCCTGCAGGTCTCAGACTGCCCTATCACCAGGCATTACATTTAATCACAACTGGCCTCAAGGAGTTCAGAACTTGAGGGTTTGTAGTGTTTTCAGTGTGTGCGTGGGGGGGGGGGCCAAAACAGCTTGACCACACAGCTGCCATGACAGGCTTAGAGGCCCAGACACAGCTTCTGTGACAGGCTTACTGGCAGGCAACACCCAGACCCAGGAGAAGCCATAAGCTGATACCACCCAGGAAGGGCCTGCATCTAAGAGTATCTGTCATCCCAAACATTCCAACCGTTAAGATAAGATGGCCAGATGTCCCTGAGTCTAGCACACACCTAATTTTTTGTTTGTTTTTAAATTTATTTTTTATATTATGTGCATGGGTGTTTTGCCATGGGTGTCAGGTTCCCTGGAACTGGAGTTACAGACAGTTGTGAGCTGGCATGTGGGTGCTGGGAATTGAACCCAGGCCCTTTGGAAGAGCAGCCAGCGTTCTTAACCACTGAGCCATCTCTCCAGCCCCATTTTTTTTTTTTTTTTTTTTTGGTTTTTCGAGACAGGGTTTCTCTGTGTCGTTTTGGTGCCTGTCCTGGATCTCACTCTGTAGACCAGGCTGGCCTTGAACTCAGAGATCCGCCTGGCTCTGCCTCCCGAGTGCTGGGATTAAAGGCATGCACCACCACCGCCCGGCCCTATTTTTTGTTTTACAGATACCCCTAGACAATTGTCAGCCAATCAGGGTCCTGAACTCTGGAAATCTCCTCACCCCAACCTCTGCTATGATAAAAACTCTACCTCGCCTGAGCTCAGGGCTCTCTGCTCTCACCGCTGCATTGGAAAAAGAGGGACTGAGCTTGAAGCTTGAAAATAATGGCTCTTTGCTTTTACATATGAGATCTGTTCCCTGTGATCTGGGCATACCATTCAGCACATAGCAGACTTGGTTTGTGACATGACATACATCCCTGAATTGACTGGACTGGCCCAGAGACCCACTGAGAGGGGAGTCTTGCACAGAGCTGGGCAATAAATACCTAGTCTAGGGGGGTTTCAAAGCACAGATAAAATGCAGCCAGCAAAGCTAGGGATTCTTGTCACCTTTTGGCTCGGGTGAGGCTTCCACGGGACCCAGATTTGCTCCAATGCTCTGCAATATCACGCAAGAAATAAACAGCCGGGGCTGGAGAGATGGCTCAGCAGGTAAGAGCACTGCCTGCTCTTCCAGAGGTCCCAGGTTCAACTCCCAGCACCCACATGGCAGCTCACAACTGTCTTTAATGCCAGTGCCAGAGGATCTGACACCCTCACACAGACACACGTGCAAGCAAAACATCAAAGAACATAAAATAAGAAAAAAAAAAAACATAAAACATGAAGTTAAAAAATAAGAAGAATGTTTAAAAAAAAAGAAAAGAAATAAAAAGCCGGGTGGTGGTGACGCACGCCTTTAATCCCAGCACTCGGGAGACAGAGGCAGGTGGATCTTTGTGAGTTTGAGGCCAGCCAGGTCTACAGAGCAAGATCCAGGACAGGCTCAAAGCTACACAGAGAAACCCTGTCTCAAAAAAAACAAAAACAAAAACAAAAAAACAACCGGGCTGGAGAGATGGCTCAGAGGATAAGGGCACTGGCTGCTCTTCCAGAGGTCCTGAGTTCAATTCCCAGCAACCACATGGTGGCTCACAACCATCTGTAATGAGATCTGGTGCCCTCTTCTGGTGTGCAGGCATACATGCAGGCAGAACATCGTATACATAATAAATAAATAAATCTTTAGGAACTAAACAAACCACAATGTAGGGAGTTTGTTTATCTCTCAACTCTTAGCCCTTCTCTAAAAGCAGAGTCCAAGAGCCAAAACCTGAGGGTCTGGCATCTGGGCGGAACCCAGGAAGTAGAAGTCCAAGAGCCCACGTCAGGGTTCCAAGTCCAGCGAGTAACAGGCCAGCCGGCGTCAGTCAGAATTCAAGGTTCATGTACAGCCTCAGATTTCGCTCCCAGGCTCTGTCCTTCTCTTCTCTCTTTCTGTTCTCCCTCTGACTCAGTGTGGCAACTCGAGGCACTCTCTCTCTTCCAGACACAGCCCGGGTATCCCGAGCTGGAAAATGTGTGACTCGGGGTTGGGGTGCAGATCTATAGCCCAGTCCTTCCTGGTCCCGCTTGAGGATAGTGGGGATAGGGTTGGCACGGCCTTCACCCCGGGGTCCCAGCCCCATTCCTGGTTCCCAGCCACCCCTCAGCAGCAGCCTAAAGCCAGGACTGGAGGTGGGCACCCCAAGGGGAAGGCTGGAGGGCTGGGGACCCCTGGACAGCGACAGCAAGTGAGCAGTAGATGTACGGTGGTTGGAGTCCTCAAAGTAGGCACCACAGTCCTCACAGAACTGGGAGGAGGAGCGGGGAGACCTGCAGAGAAGGAAAGAAGTTACGGGGTGGGGGAAGGAGGGGCCTGGAGCTCAGCTGTCGGCACCTGGCGGAGCAGGGCAGCACACCTCATGCCTTCCTTCTAACTTTTGTTTTATCCTGCATTGGAGAGGGACCCCAGGGTCTCCCCAGTGTTAGGCAAGTGCTCCAAGCCCCTCTCCATGTCCAGAAGGGACAATTTGGGATACCGTTAGGTAGGCCTCAAGCTCTTAGGGATAGTAAGCAGAGCTGATCTGTTCCATCACTTTCCGCATTAACCTACCGCATCTTAACGACCCTTTGAGAAAGATGCCCTCATCCCCGCTTCTCAGACAAGGCTGAGATCTGCAGATCTTAGGCTGACATCACAAGTAAATAGAACCAAGATCTAAATGCACAAAGACTGTGTCCATAACCACTTTAGGACAGGACTTAACTACACTGCAGGATGAAGAGCCCCGTGAGCTGTTCTGGAGCCCCTGGTGTGGGGTGTCCATGAAAGTCAGAACACAACAAAGATGGGTATGAGCTAAGGCTCGCCCCTCACCGGTTCTGGTTCTCAGGGCTCCGTGCCTCCCCATGACTCTCTCTGACCATGCGAGCGACCTCGGGGAAGCCTGCCTCTTCAGCCAGCTGAGCAGCGTCTCTGCCTCCCAGCTCACAGACTCCTACCCAGGCAGCCCCGCGGCCCAGGAGATAGCGCACAGCAGCCCCCTGGCCTGCTCTGGCGGCACACATCAAGGGAGTCCACCAGAAGGCATCCCGGGCGTTGACATTCCCTCCAGCTCCCCCTGCCTCCCGGGGTTCCAGCAGCCTCCGGAGTTCTGTCACATCCCCATTCTGGGCCGCCAGCAGGATCCACCGGGTCATTTTGTCTTCGTCCTCAAGGGGTCTTCCTTGTCCTGAAGCTCCTGCTGCTGTGGCCACCGCAGCCTCCCTCACCGCTCTTCTTTTCTTCCTCTGTCTTTCCCTGATGGGGCCAGCTCTCTGGGGCCTTGGGGAACTACTCTCATCGGCAATGAGAGCCTCATAGAAAGCCCGGGCTGCAGCCCCATCCAGGACAGGCTTTGGCTTCTCAAGCTGTGATTGCTGCTGCCCATCCTTCCAGAGGTCGCTGGAGTCAGTGGCCGGAGTAAATGTGATGAGGGACGGCCTGGACATGGGTCTGCGGAGAAATGAGAAAATGACGACCGGAAAGGGAAAGGATGCGACAAGCACTCCAACCTTCCAGGGAGCCATGGTGATGATCAGTACCGCCTCCCCGGGGCCTGCTGGGATGAGAAAGCAGCCTAGAACTAAAACGGGCCTCCCAACCCCAAAACTGACTCCATGACCTAGGATCTTTTAGTGCCCAGGGTTCATGTGTAAAATGGACCACTAGAATGACAGATCCTGCCCAGATGTTAATAAAATTTCATGAAGGCATAGTAGATAAGGTTCTGTGTAGAATGCTTGCCTCGAATTCGGGAGGTCTGGGTTCTTTCTCTAATACAGGAAAGAAAAATAATAATAATAACAATAGGACAAGATATTCCACCAGACAGTTGTCTAGGGGTCCTGCGTTCTATTCCCACCTCCCTTCAACCAGAAATGGCAGGCTCTCTCTGAAAACATTTCCCCATCCTGTAACACGTACCGTCAGGAAACACCAGCTCGACCTTTTAAATCTTGCTCGATCTTACATAGGGGTCTCCTTTCCCCAAAGCAAAGTCAGGCGTAACATTATTCCGGGAGGTTTCGGGGGAAGGTGTTGCACCGTCACTTCCGTACCGCAAAATGGCGCTCTTGTGGTCTGCGAGAGTTGACACAATCACACACTCACATGGCACAAAGACGCATGCGCAGCAGCAGCAACAACAAAACACCCGCAAGGTTCGGTTTCCCGCGCTGGAACCTTTCCAAGCATCCGCGCAGAGAGCATCGCGTGCCCAGACAGCGCGAGGGCCCCGGGGGGCCTGTCGGTTGGGGTCCCGCTTTTACATAACGCCCCCACAATGCTGTTCGCCACCCTCGACGTGGTCCCTCCCGCTCCAAGCTCCTTCCCTGGAGCGTCTAGGAAAGGCCCTGCGGACACAAAGGGAGGCCCGTGAGATGCCGAGGCGCCGGGAGGTGAGCTAACACCGCGGTGCCCCTCGTCACTCCTCGGCGCAGGGCTCGGAGAACACACGCAGGGCCCGCGGAGGAGCGCTGCACGCGAGCCCCGAGGACATGGAGAAGTGCAAAGGGACGAGCGGCAGAGTGGCTGGCGCCACCTCAGGTTAGCGCGCCCGCCGCCCGGCTCCGCGCCGCCCGAGCACGCCCGACCTCAGCCCCTCTCCGCCGGGCCACACCTCGACGCACGCCTGCTCCTGAGCCAACTGTGTCGCGGGCCTGCCCGGAGGACCGGGGTGCAGTGGGGTGGCCTGGGGCAGTGTCGGTCCCCGGGGCGGCAGGGAAGACCCACGCGCTCCGGAGCGGTGAGGGAGCGCAGCGGGGACGGACCGGAGCGCGGGCGCCGGCCGCGCAGCCCAGGGAGCCCACCGAGCCCAAGACTCTATTTCCCAAGCTTCCTGGTCGGGAAGACGCTGCCCCGGGCTTCCGCTTCCGGTGGCGCCTCCGTTCGCCCCGCCCCCAGGCGGCCTCCGCGGGGGCCTCGCGACCCCGGAGTCGTGCGCGGGGCCTCCTGGGATTGGTAGTTCGCCTTCCCCTCCTTTCGTCAGTTTCTCTCCCCCGGCGGGACTCCATCTCCCGGCGTCCACAGAGGTAGGGGGGCGGTGCTTGGCGCCTGCGCGTGGGCCTCTCTCCCCCACCCTCGCCAGTTTCCACTTCCCCCCCCTCCCCACTTGGCCTGCGGCGGTCGGGTCGGCTTCCTGCGCCGTAGCGGACGCTGCCGTTCGAAGCACAACTCCCCTTCCCCGCCCCAGTCCCAGCCCCCGTCCGGCCGGTGAGTCTGGGGTCGTCCCCGGGCCGCGTCGCACGTCCCCCGGGCCGCGGCACTGGGTCCCGTGCTCCGGGAGGTGGGGGCGAGGAAGGAAGTGACCGGGTCGGGAGCCCGAGAGGATGGGCGGCCCGGGGAGAGCGGGCGGCCGTGGGGACGCTCGCGAGTCCCGCAGGAGTGCGGTGCGCCCGCCGGCCCTGGGAGGGCAGGAGAGGCCGCCGCTGTCGGGAAGGATGAACTTCGGGAGCCCTGGGACCGGCGCCAGGGCTTGCGGGCACCCGCGGCGGCCGAGAGCCGGAGCCCAGGGCCCCGCCGCCGCTGACATGGGGGGCCGGGGACGCCGGGGGCCGGGGCGGCGCTCACGGAGCGGGACCTGTCATCCTCTGGAAAGCCGTGGGTCTCGTTCCCACCACGCTGAAAGGGGGCTGAGGTGAAGAGGAGGAGGAGGAGCGTGGAGAGGGAGGCCTCGCAGGCTGGAGCCCTTCAAGCCCAGGTGGCCTCGGTCGGGTTCCTTCGTCGCTGGGGAGAACGTGTGGGAGGAGGGAAGAGACCAGAAGCGGCTCGGTCTCCACTTAGGCCCTTCTTTCTCAGCCGACGTAAAGATGAGTAGCTCTGAGGAGGTGTCCTGGATTTCCTGGTTCTGTGGGCTCCGTGGGAATGAATTCTTCTGTGAGGTGAGTTTAGCTTGCCTTCTTGGCCAGCTCCACATGCCCTCGATGTTTTTATTTTGTGTTGCTTGAGATCGGGTTTCACGGGAAGCTTGCTGTGTAGCCTAGACTGGCCTTGAACTCCTGGGAATCCTACTGCCTCAGTCTCCCGAGTGCTGGGATTACAAGGGTTTGCCACCATGCCTGGTGACCATTAGGGAAATTAAAATGTCTCACGTTAAAGTTCTGTAACATGAAAATTACAGTGTGTTAATGTAGAAAACTACAAATGCCTTTCAGAAACTGAACTGTTAGCCTTCGTGATTCCTGAGTCTTTAGCTCAGAGTCTGATGTCCCCCAGGAAAGGGCAAATCCAGTTCCTAGAGACAAGGGACAGAAGTTGAATGATGTCTGTGCACTGTACCTTGTTAGCCCGAGAAGGGAAGGGCTGCGGTTTCTAACGGAGACTGAGTCCTGCAGAAGTGGGAATGGGAGACATGGGGAGCTGATGCAGGTGTTCATCTCTTGGGCCCGGGTGAAAGGTGGGAGCCCAACACTGTTTCAACTTCTTGGCTTCCCTTCCCGCTAGGTGGATGAGGACTACATCCAGGACAAATTTAACCTTACTGGACTCAATGAGCAGGTGCCACACTACCGACAAGCTCTAGACATGATCTTGGACCTGGAGCCTGGTAACCTGCCCCTGGGGTTGTTGCTGAGTGTGGGGTTGGTGGTGATGTGTGCATTTGTGTGTGCTTTCTTTCTTTTTCTTCTGTCTCTTGTCTCCTGGGTTTCTGTTTGTTTTGTTTTGTTTAGGGTTTCTCTGTCCTCGAACTCACAGAGATCCCCCTGCCTCTACCGCCTGAGTGCTGGGGTTAAAGGCGTGTGCCACCACCACCCAACCACTTGCTTCTGGAATTTCTAAATTTCGTTTTGATTCTCTAGCTTTCCTATCCCCCAATCGATTGCTTGCCTACTTGTTTGTTTATGTGACCGCCACCCACCGCTATCTCCTCCATTCATAACCCACACTGGACTGTACACTTGCTCTTCCCGCCCAAGCCTTTAAGTGCTGGCATTCTGGCACATAGAGCATGTTTGGCTTCTTTGGTGTTTTGATTTCCTGCCTGACTCTTGCCGTATGGGACTGGAACACTTGTTTCCATGCTCTCTGAGGTAACTCAGCTCTGTTTCACGATGCTGGTTTCCTCATGGTTTTGTGTACCGCTTCTTTGCTCCTGCCTGTCTAGAAGGCCACCCTCTGCATTTATGTGTTTATATTTATGTATTGGGAAAGGAAAGAAGCGGGCCGAGACTGGAAGAGGTATGGAGAGAGGGTAGTACTGAGTGGTCTTCGGTTTGTAGAAAGGTCAAAAGCCCAGGTTTCTGGGTCAGATGCATGGGTGATAGGGTGAGGCCCAGAAACAGGTGCTAGATAAACTGTAGGTGGCCGTCCTGGGAATAAGGTGGGGTTACAAGTGGCTACCCCACCTTTCAGATGAAGAGTTGGAAGACAACCCCAACCAGAGTGACCTGATTGAACAGGCAGCGGAGATGCTTTATGGGTTGATCCACGCCCGCTACATCCTCACCAACCGAGGCATCGCCCAAATGGTGAGGCTCTGCCCTGCTGCTTCTGAGGCAGTAAGGGAAACAGGTGCATGAGTCAGAAGTCTAGCGGAGGAGACGAGGAGAAGCCCAGAGCTGGGCTGAGGATCAGATCCTCACTGGCGGTCCTACTGAAGGTATTGTTTTCAGGGAGGGAAGTGAAACCATGGACGAGGAGTTTTCAGGGGACACAAAGCAAATGGCCCTAGTGTTCTCCAGCCTGCCGACTTGAGAGAAGGGGCTTCTAGTTAGAAGTGGGAGGCATGGGAGTCGGGAATGAGTTGAGCTGCGAGAGGAACTGCTCTGCACACTCACCCCCCGGTCCCTTCCACTTTACACACCTCAGTTGGAAAAGTACCAGCAGGGAGACTTTGGCTACTGTCCTCGCGTGTACTGTGAGAACCAGCCGATGCTTCCCATCGGTGAGTGTCGGGGGGCAGGGGGGAGGAGTCAGTGCCTGAGTCCTGTGGGAGGTTGGGAAGAGTTGGGGGTACCTAGTCTGCAGCGTCTGGCTATCTCCCAGGCCTTTCGGACATCCCAGGCGAGGCCATGGTGAAACTGTACTGCCCCAAGTGCATGGACGTGTACACACCCAAATCATCGAGGCACCACCACACAGACGGCGCCTACTTCGGCACTGGTTTCCCTCACATGCTCTTCATGGTGCATCCGGAGTACCGACCCAAACGACCTGCCAACCAGTTTGTACCCAGGTGGGGAGCAAAGACAGTCACAAAGGGTCAAAGAACAACCCAAGGTCTGGCGAGACTCGAGGACAAACAGCCCTCTCTCGAGGCCTGCCTGTCCCAGAGTCAGGGCTTTTCCTGCTGAGTGCTGGGGCAGTTACTGGATTGCTTGTGCCTCCGTTTTCTTATCCATCGAGCAGGGATGCTGACGTGGCTGCCTATTTTTAAATGCGTTGTGGCCCTTGACTATTTAAACAGTGGCTATTGCTGTTGGCATCTTGGATGCTCAACCTTTTGCTAAAATCCTCAGATTTTGTGGTTCAGCATGGCTTATTGTCCTTATTTTTAACTGTATCCCAGGGAGGAAAGATTCCATTTGTACAGGCACTAATCTGCAGCTCCTCAGATTGGAAGTTTTCTGTGTGGGCTGGGGTTAACCTCATGCCTGCTAAGCACAGACTCTCTCCTTGAGCTATACTTTCAGTGTGGGTTTTTTGTTTGTTTAGTTTGGGGGGGTGGTTTTGGCAGAGTTTTTATTGGCTGAGTTGGCCTCAAGGGATCCTTCTGCCTCTGCCATAAATGAGATACAGATTTGGAGCCTTTACTGGAACTCACTCTGTAGCCCAGGCTGGCCTCCAACTCACAGAGAGCTGCCTGCCTCTGCCTCCCGAGTGCTAGGATTAAAGGCGTGCGTCACCACTGCCCGGCTTTAAGATACATTTTTAAGGGGCCTGGAGAGATGGCTCAGCAGTTGAGAGCACTGGCTGCTCTTCCAGAGGTCCTGAGTTCAACTCCCAGCAACCACATGGTGGCTCACAGCCATCTTAATGGAATCCAGTGCTCCTCTGGCGAGTAGAGGAACAGGCAGACAGAGCACTCACATTAAAAAGAAAAAAAAAGAGCTGGGCAGTGATGGCGCACGCCTTTAATCCTAGCACTCGGGAGGCAGAGGCAGGCAGGTCTCTGAGTTGGAGGCCAACCTGGCCTCCAAAGCAAGTTCCAGGACAGCCAGGACTGTTACACAGAAAAACTCTGTCTCAGCAAAAAAGGGGGGTACATTTTCAAGTATTCATGGGGGGAAAAATCAAGTATTTGTGAGCAAGGAAGTTAGGGAAGGATTGAGTAGGCATGAGGAGGAGGCTGGGGTAGTCGGGGATGCCAGCGACTGGCAGGGCCAGAAGGGAGCTCACCCTGCTGTCTCTGACCTCTGCCCGGCCCAGGCTCTACGGTTTCAAGATTCATCCAATGGCTTACCAGCTGCAGCTCCAAGCCGCCAGCAACTTCAAGAGCCCAGTCAAGACGATTCGCTGATCCCCACCCACCTTCCTGTCTTTGACACCACCGGTCCTTTGCTGCCGCCCTTTCCGGAAGTCTATGGTTTTTAGTTTCACTTAAAGGAATTGTTACTGTGGTGGAATATGAAATAAAGTGGAAGAAAAGGCCATGAGCTAGTCTCCTGGTGCTTGTCGCCGGGGAAGGGCAAGTGGTAGTGTGCTGGACTCCAGCGACCCTCGGCTGGAAACGGCACAGCTTGATGCCTCGTGGATTTGGTGATGTCGATAGATAGTAGAGCGCAGTATAGTAGATCAGAGCGGCATTCTAGATGGGGGGGGGGGGTAAAGATTGAAAAGAAGGTTTCAAAGGCTAGAGAAACACCTGCCCTCCTCAGGCTCTGTGGCTTGTATTTCTACTGTGGGGCTCATGAGAAGTGCTCTCCGTTTTGCTATTGAAGGAAATGTAATCCTCAAGCAAACAGAACTGCAGAGAAGGCAGAGAGCCACAATTGTTGCCCTGCTATCTGTGCCCCCTGCTGGGAGAGCTGAGCCGTCCATCTGGAGAGGGCGGGGAGGCTTCTCTCTGGCCAACCTCTCCCAGCATAATGGGAACCAACTCTTGTGCAGGTGACAGCAGGTGGAGCCAGAGCCGGTCACTAACCCGTGGCCCTAGAAGCGGGGTACAGATGTTTTGGGCGTGTCTAGGATGAAGACACCTGATGAGATCCAGCTGGTGCCCACATGGGAACCAGGCCTTGTGGGTGAGGGAGGACATGCCACTCTTCCTGCCAGTTGCTAACTTCCTCCTCCCGTCAGATCCTGCCCAGGTGGGAACACAGCTCTGCACCCACAGCAGTTCTGCTCAGACACCTGTCAGAACCATTCTGCCTCTGAGGATTAACGAGTGTGGTCCTAGGAAGGTGGGGTTTGGGGTGTATTCCACGGTAGCTGCTCTTCTCCCCAGAATTTCTTTTTTTTTTTTTTTTTTTTTTTTCTTTTTTTTCGAGACAGGGTTTCTCTGTGTAGCTTTGCGCCTTTCCTGGGACTCACTTGGTAGCCCAGGCTGGCCTCGAACTCACGGAGATCCGCCTGCCTCTGCCTCCCGAGTGCTGGGATTAAAGGCGTGCGCCACCACCGCCCGGCTCTCCCCAGAATTTCTAATGAAGGCCCGTGTGCTTGTAGGTGGCTGACCATGGTGGGCTTTGCAGTGGGAAAGGGTGAGTGGGGCCAGGGTCTGGGAGGAAGGGCAGAGCTGGGGCCCTGGTGTCCTTGAAAGTGAGTCCTGGCTTCATCTCATTTGGTCCTCTGCATGCCAAGCTCTGGCTGAGATGTCCATCCCTGCCGCTTGTGCCTCTCGGAAGACCCTAGAAAAGTGCACCATCAGCAGTTCATCCCATGCGTGGTTATCACCGACTACCAGTGAGAAGTCCAGGGAAAGGGCCGCTGGTAGAACGGTGTGGCTTCTCCAGCTTCTCCAGCGTGAGGGTTGTTGGGATCTTGGAGGGGTGTGTGTGTACAGACAAGTGAGTGAATTTTTTATTTTACCCTCTTCTGAAAGTACATAGGATAAAATCTGGGCTGCATGAATGCTGGGGAGTTAGGTTTGGGGACAGTGGTGAGCTATCCACAGCATCGAACGTCCCTCCCCTCTAGATGTCAAGGTTCGCTTCCATGTACGAGGCTATGAACAGTATAATTCCTACCCCTGCAAAGAAAAATGCATCCCCTGGTACAAGGCTGACTGCTGTCAGTACAATGACTGCAGCTCCTGGTCCAGTACCCGGCTCTAGAGCGCTCTGCCTGGGCCCTGTCTGATTCCCAGACAGACTGGTTCTACCAGGCCCTGAACCTCTCCTTGCCCCCGCCTGGCTTCCCTGCTCATAAGGTCCTGAGAGCCCAGACGCGTTCACCCTGCTCCTGTGGCTGGGTGTGTCCATAGCCATCCCGCACCAAACGTGCTTGTTCCTCAACAGTTCGGGATTCCTGTTCGTCCTCAGACTAGACCCGGGCATGTTCCCTTTCCCGGATTCTGCTCTGCACTTCTTAAACACTGGACTCCTGATCCCTGTGTTCTAGGCCTTCTCTGTGTCCCCAGGATGGCAGCTGGATCTGGGTGCTGCCTTGTCTTTCCTCCTGTCCATACCTTGAGTATGGCTTCTGCTCAGCTGACCTGACCTGGTTCCCATCCTGGGTGTCACTGTCTTCCCACACCCTCAGTCTGGCCTTCAGTGCCGCATCCACTCAGAACCGGCTCTCTGTCCTCTGTCTTACGCCTGTCTCTGAGCCTCAGGACCAGGCTTCGGCAGGAAGGGCCAAGGGTGGACTTGCGTGCAGATTTCCTGGCATGGCACCTGTCTCCGTCCTCACCATCCTGGCCTGCTGTCTCCCTGACCGCCTCTCTTCACCTAACTGCATGTCGGGAGGAGGGAGGCTATTCTGCTATCCATGCAGCCCGTGTTCCTCCCCACCCCTCACCCCCCACCCCCCGATAAACAAGACCAGGATAAACCTGTGTCACTGTGTGGGGAGGGGGGGTCAGGGTCAGGTGTGGGCCGGTGTAGCCAGGTCAAAGAATAGGTGTGGATTTCAAACAGGACCGCCAAATCCGGCCCACTCTGTTTGGTCTTCATGGCTTCCTCTCACATCGCCCTGAAAGGCCATGTCCTTCCCCTCCCCACTTTAACCTTCAAAACCTGGAACATTAAGTCCACGTGGTGCTGGGTTTTCACCTGAGGAGAAACAGTCCACATCCACGTTGAGTTCAAGACTCCTGGCACCTTGCGGTGTATGTGGTATGCTCGAGGCTGCAGCTGTTAAATCTCCATTTTAGTATTTGGGCTCTCCTGCCTCTCCTGCCTCTACCTTTAAGAGCTAGGATTGTTACAGGTGTGTGCTAAACACTAAATATTGAGAAATTTTGGCCAGGCATGGTAGTGCACACCTGTTGTGAAATTTTGCCATTCGGTCCAATAGCCTGTAATAAAGGGCAGCTTGGCCAAATGGGTGGAGTCTTCATTAGAGAGCATGGAACCTGAATATGGGGATAAAAAGCCAAGGCGCAGCCGGGCGTTGGTGGCGCACGCCTTTAATCCCAGCACTCGGGAGGCAGAGCCAGGCGGATCTCTGTGAGTTCGAGGCCAGCCTGGGCTACCA